AGGGTATTGTAAATAAATTCTCTATACTTACCATTTTGAAATCAGATTTAGGTAACCTTTTCTCCCATTTTATGTTCAGTTTTGTCTTTGTTTTATAGACAGTGAAACTGTTTATCTCATTTGAATTGCTATTTGGAAGGAGCAAAAGTGCAATACACAGAGTCACTAACTTATAAAGGCTCATTTAATTCCTCATCGAGTCAGTCTTTTAGACAAGCAATGTAGCATGATTTTTTCCTCCACCTACTCTAGTAATTGAAGGGGCATTTTATTTAGGGAAATATGAATGCAGGTAGTGTTGTTAGTAAACATGCAAAAAGAAGATCATTTAGAATCTTATTTCAGAAGCAGTGGCATCATGCTCATAAACTTCAAGTTTTCTTTGTTTCCTTTTTCCTTTTCCTTTTCTGTGAAACTCTAGGGATAACTTGAGGCATATCCAAAATTTTCTCTAGCAAGGGACTTAGAGATATAAGTATATTTCATACTTTCTTAATCAAATAAACTTTGAGTTTCTTAAATAGCCTTTAATTTTATGGAAAGAAAAAGGGCCATAGTTAGCTCTTTTTATACATTTTAATAAACAAGTACCTCTTATATGTCAATAAGAAATTGAACTCAACCTATGAATTATCTCATTATTAGAGAACTAGAGGCCCAGTGCATGAAATTTATGCACTCAGGGGGGTCCCTCAGCCCAGCCTGTGCCCTCTCGCAGTCTGGGAGCCCTCAGGGGATATCCAACTAATGGCTTAGGCCCATTCCCCTAAGCTGTCAGTTGGACATCCTTAGTGCTGCTGCAGAGGCGAGAGAGGCTCCTTCCACCACCGCTGTGCTCACCAGTGATGAGCCCAGCTTCTGGCTGAGTGGTGCTCCCCCTGTGGACCACACTGACCACCAGGGGGCAGCTCCTGCATTGAGCATCTGCCCCCTGGTGATCAGTGTGCATCGTAGCGACGGGTCATTCCGCCATTTGGTTGATTTGCATATTAGCCTTTTATTATATAGGACTAGAGGCCCGGTGCAGAAAAATTTGTGCACTCGGGGGGGAGGGGGGGGGCCTGTGCCTTCTCGCAGTCTGGGACCCCTCGGGAGATAACGACCTGCTGGCTTAGGCCTGCTCCTGGGTGGCAGAGGGCAGGCCCAATCCCTAGGTGCAGCCCCTGGTCGGGCTCAGAGCAGGGCTGATTGGGGAGTTGGGGCGCCGCCCCCTGTCATGCACAGAGCAGGGCAGATTGGGAGGTTGCGATGCCACCCTCAGTCATGCTCAGGGTAGGGCTGATTGGGGGGCTGGGGCACTGCCCCCTATCATACTCAAGGCAGGGTTGATGGGGAGGTTGCAGAGCCACCCCCTGTCACGAACAGAGCAGGGCCAATCAGGGGGTTGGGGCACTGCCCCCTGTCACTCACAGAGCAGGGCCCATCAAGGGAGTTGGGGCTCCGTACCCTGTCACGCACAGAGCAGGGCCAATCAGGGGGTTGGGGAGCTCCCCACTGTCATGCACAGAGCAGGGCCCATCAGGGGGTTGGGGAGCTCCCCCCTGTCATGCACAGAGTAGGGCCCATCAGGGGGTTGAGGAGCTCCCCCCTGTCACTCACAGAGTAGGGGCCGATAGGGGAGTTAGGGCACCGCCCCCTGTCACACACACAGCAGGGCAGAATAGAGGGTTGGGGCGCCGCCACTCTCACACTCAGGGCAGGGCCGATGGGGAGGTTATGGCTCTACCCTGTCACACACAGAGCAGGGCCTATGTGGGGCGGGGGAATTGGGGCACCGCACCCTGTCACACACAGAGCCGCAGGGCGATCAGGGGGTTTGGGCGCTGCCCCCGTCACGTTGATCCGGTGCCAGGAGGCCTCGCGGCTCCGCTGATCCCAGTGCTGGGAGGCATATTACCCTTTTATATATAGGATAGAGGCCTGGGGGCCGGCTGGTTTGCCCTGAAGGGTGTCCTGGATCAGGGTGGGGGTCCCCACTGGGGTGCCTGGCCAGTCTGGGTGAGGAGCTGAGGGCTGCTTTCAGGCTGGCAATTGACTGAAGCTCCCAACCACTCCTTTTTTTCTTTTTCTTTTTCTTTTTTTATTTATTCTGGCCAGCTTTAGCTCTGGCTCTAGCTCTGAGGCTTCCGCTGCTATAATCGAAACAATGTATAACTCTAACTCTGAGATCCCGGCTGGCTGAAAGGTTTTTTCTGGGGTTTTGTTTAGCTTCTATATTTGCAACATAGTTTCTTAGAGTTGTAGCTCAGAGGCCGGCAGCGCAGGCTGGGAACGTTGGAGTCCCCAGTCACTGGAGCAAGCAGGCCTCATGTTCGCTTCCAGCTGCCTGGCTGCCGGCCGCCATCTTGGCTGACAGTTAATTTGCATAAGGATATGCTGATTAGCCAATGGGAAGGGTAGCAGTCATACGCCAATTACCATGTTTCTCTTTTATTAGTGTAGATATGTATTGAGAGTTCATCAGATGCAGGCCAGCTTACTTTTAGGGCTTCCTATCTAATTGGGATATACCACAATTTATTGGAGATAACTAAGTAGAAATTAAATGATTATTTTTAGACAGAGTCATTTTAACTTTTGTAAGAAGAAGAAATAATTAATTCACCAGGCCAATAAGTGTTGAGGATCAGTTATATTGTGTATAGCATGCTTTGTGAAGGTAAAGTAATTTTAGAAATCTTAATAAAGGTTCACTTTTTTATTTGCCTACTTTTATGTCACTTTTATTGAAGACAATTACCTTGATGTTTTTGCTAATAAAGCAAACATTAAATATTTTTTTTAGAGAACAGAAATTGATAAAATAGACTTAAACTTGATGGATTCTTCAGAAAAGTTTTTATCCTGATTTCAGTTATTAGAGTTGCTTTAAATATATTTAAGCATCTTAGGTTAAGATTCTATTACATGAATGATAATGTACTTGAAATTAAGTAGAATGCCACACTTTTATAAAATATTTCTGTGTTGATGTTAAAATGTGACCAGATAGGCTCATCTAAACATGAGCACACATCTGACACAAATTGACTTGATGGTTGTCCAGGCTGGGGTTTTAGTTCCTACACCTACTCCCACTCATCCACCCACATCTATTGGACAAGTGCCTGATTAAACAGATGGGCCTTCCGCTATGCTCTCAAAACAGGCAGCCTCCACCTTTATTGAGAAAAACATGGGGTGCAAGTAAGCTATATTGTGCTATTTTGCTTCTGGGCATGATCATTTGAGTGAAAAGCTACTATTCATTACTGTTATAGTTTGCTGTTGGAAATACCTTTTTTCTTTATGAATGAAAATGTGAAACTTGGAGGATAACAGATGGAGTTTCAGGGATCTGGAAAACCTATAGATAGGGAAGCAGTTCTCAGTCAAATAGGAAAAGAAAAAAATGAGCAGGAGTGTGAAATGCCATGCAGTTTTATAAAAGCCTGTAGCTAAGATTTTAGAAAATGTTTGAATTAGCTGAGACATAGGTTGATCATGAAATTTCCCCATGTACTCAGGGCTATGGGACCAAAATAGAATTCACATCTTTCCTAGTGTCCCTTCAACAAGTTACTAGTTTAACAGTTACAAAGTTTAATTTTGGGTAGGACATTAAGTGCTGGCTGCCATCTCTATAAATACTACTCGCTTTCTCACTGTGTGTGCAGAGGTTTGGAGACCCGAGGTGATAGGGTGGCAGAAGAATTTATGACATCAGAAGTGAGTTTTCTTTATGTTAATAATGGTACTGCTAGTCCATGTTTGTGACAAAAGCACTGAGAGTAAGGCAAGAGCAACAATTAGATGACCCTGTACTTGATTTGATATGCTCATACTGAATATTGAGAAAATCTTCAAAGGCATTTGCTCTCCAGGCATTTTCTCATGATATTCTCTTTAGTGTTGCAATAGTTAACAAGCCATCACATATTTAACCTCATGGAAATAAGTATATGTGCATTTGCTCTTAAAAGGATCCATTTTTTTATTTCTGGAATCATTAATACTCTGATATTTGCTTCTCTTAATTGTGGCAATACATGGTCCTAAGGACAACACACTAAATTCAAGTTAAAGACCCCCTACACCTCTTTCTAAATGCTTTCTTTAATCTTTTGGTAGCTCAGAATTCTCCACAAAGACAGGGAGCCTGGTTGCCATATACTTTCTTTATATAGCTACGGGATTTCTTTTCTTTCTTACTTTCTTTTTTAATGGCATGAGATAATGCCTATGATACATAAAACTTTATGGAATAAAGGTCAGTGCAATGTATAACTTCTGTTTTCTGGCTATTATAATGACTAGATAAACATAGGCATAAGGTTGCTTAATACTTCAACAGAAACCTGCCATGGAACTTCCTGAAAATTTGACCTCTTGAAAGAATTCTAAATGGAATTGTCTTATATTTTGCTTATTATTTTGCTTCTCTAAATATGTGTGCTAGAATAATGGATAACTGGGTAAGATATGTCACAGCATTGCTTTACAAAAATGCTTAAAATTTATTTCTTTCCTTCCAATAAAAAGTTAATGATAAAAGTAACAAATCTGTTATTATTTAAGAGTTTTACTACGAAGTGTCTTGAGATAGCTTTATTTGATTGTGTTTAATTTAATTAAAATTATTATTCTTTCTTGTTACATTGTTCTTTGAAATCATTGAAATTGTCTAAGTAACATTGTTCTTTCTCTACTTGATAAAATAGAGAACCCAGAAGATTAATTTAGATAAAGAATGAAAAATAAAAGGATCACATTATGTGCTTCATTTTATTAGAAGGAACTACATTATAAAAACAGTTATTTGAAGAGAAAAAAGAGATAAAAATAGCAAAGCATTTCAATTTTCATACCATTATGAAGCAGTTATAAAGGCAGTCTTTATACAAAAGTATGTGTATTTATAAGAGATATGATCATTATTAACTTTTTATTAAACCATCTGGCCTATTATATTTTTATATATTATTTAATGTCTTTCTTCTGTTTTGTTTTCTTTTAAACAGCAAATGCCAGTCTCCTTGGAGGAGGAGGTGGTAAGTCCTGAACATCACTTAAAATATATTTTTATTTCTATACCAACCACAGATGTTATGTAAGTTCTGTGATACTTTAAAGAAAATTAATTTAGCTATAATCATCAACCACAAAAATGATAATTTTCTAGAAAATAATTTATAATGGAAATATCTGAATTCAAAATATGTAGAATAGTGTTTTTCTTCTTGTCAAACTTTGTATTTACACCTTTGGCATAAGCTGTAACAGCTATAAGCTATTGGAATGAAGACACCTAGCAGATGACAGAGTCACATTGAATACATTTGGGGAGCTGTGGCTTTGGGGATTTTTTCATCATAATGACTATAAAAATTATGACTCTGTAGCCTGAGAGCTTAATATATCAGCCAGTTATTGATGTGAATACTAAAAAAGAAATTAGTATTGACACTTTGCTTTTTCTTTTAGCCTATTTAAAGGAGAAAGAGATCAAAAGGAGATTAGGAAGAGAGAGCTTTCTGTACTGAAAATTTATTTTTGATACTACGATCTTATGCCTATTTATTATTTTTACTTCTAGAAAATAAAAATATTTCTAGATTTATTTATTTCTTGAAAGATGAAAGCTCTGCTGGCCCAGCCTATATAATATAGTAGGAGAGGGAAAAGTACACAATAGAATAGGGCCCTTTGATTTCAGAGAGGAAGGGAGAGGGAGAGAGAGATAGAAACATCAATGATGAGAAAGAATCATTGATAGGCTGCCTCATGCACGCCCCCTACTGGGGATCGAGCCCACAACCCAGGTATGTGCCCTTGACTGGAATCAAACCCGGGACCCTTCAGTCCACCTGCTGACGCTCTATCCACTGAGCCAAAATGAGCGTCCTTTTTATTTAAGACCCAGATGGACATAGAGAGGTTTGTTTTCTCTCTCATTCTTTCTCCCTTTCCCTCTTGCTCTCTCTTTTCATGTATATGGTAGAAGTAAATAATTGTACAGAGCATTAGGCTTCTAAAAAATTGCCTGGCTTTTATGAGGAGGTTTCAGTGCAATTCTATTTAGCAATTACATTTTTAAGTATCATTTCTATATGAGAATTAATAGATTTTCAAAAAAAGAATCTTGAAAATAGAAACAACAGAAAACAGTTTAAACTACAAAATGTTCTCCATATTATCAGGTAAGTGAATAGTCTATAGCAGAATATTTCTTTTCTTCTTCCATAAATTATTTTAGAAAATAGAAATCTACAGAATTTCTAATTTTAATTTATTTTGTATGCTTGAGAATTTGAGGGTAATCTTTTTTTATTAGTTGGATTCCCCATAAATTTTTATCTCTGGGTCTCTTATAATATGTTAGGTAAACATTATTAAAATAAATTTACATTAGTACTGATTTTCTTGCAATATATATTATTATTTCAACAAATTTGACTAAATAGAATAAAGTAAAGTTAAGATTGAATCTCTATAAACAAATTCATCAAGTTAAACAACAGACACATTAGCTAGACAATTAACCCTTTGTACGTCATAAGCCTCTATAGACACAAGGATGGTTTCCATTTTGGACACGTGACAGTTAACTGGTTAATTTATTGTTCTTGGCTATTTTTATAACCTAGCTTGACTGTTTGATTATATTAGTTAAAATGACTTTATTTGCACATAGTAGAAAAATACAAAATAATAGTTGCTTATAGGAGATAGAAGTATATTTCTATCTCATGTGAAGGTAGCATAGATGTATACTGTATACTAGAAAGGTTGTGGTAATCTCATAATATAACCACGCTATTACTTTTCTGTTTCTCCTTCCTAGTGCAGTGAAGTCAGGGTCCCTGATAACCAGGGAAGCTCTAGCTATCATACATTTGGGGGTTAGGAGGAGTAAGAAGGCCAAAAAATAAAAAAGGTGGCTCCCAAAAGATGAGTCAGGTTTTCAAAGCAGGTTTCCCTAAAGTCTCACATTGTCCTTGAACTTGATTAAATGTTTATTAATGGATACATGCAGTTTTGTTCAAAAAAGCAATGTGTTTGTTAGAGAGAGAAAGAGAGAGAGGGAGAGAGAGAATTCTGTTTTCTAAGGAGGTAGGGCAGAGTGGAGGTTTTGGTAGGTAACTAGTAATCCCTGCTATAGTGGGAAGGCAGGGAATTGTTCAGGAAGTCTTGTCAACCTGGTTTGTTTTAATATATGTGTACATAGTTGGTGTTTATAGAACTAATTCTAGTGACTGGGCCTGTATTTCCTTATAGTTCCTCTAACCTGTATGAAAAAATATAATATGAATTTTTAGCAGTGACAAGACATTCAGGAATAGGCAAACTCAGTTTTCTGTTTACTGTTCTATGGGGCATAAATGTATGATTGATTTTGCTAAATGTAATTATTGCCATACTTTCTAATTTCTGAAGTCTAAAATTAGCAAGTTAGCATGATTATAAAGGTAAATTACAAATATTTAAGGTGGCTGTAATTTCTTTCATTAAAGTAGGTCATGACAGGTTTAAATTCATTTATGCACTTCCAGAGATGTTAAGATTGCTCTAAAGTATGTCTGATTTTTGGAAGGCTGTATTTAAAAATTTAAGTATATTCTTAGTCTTCTTATACTGATTTTTTGGCCTTCTGATTCTATGACAAATATTTTTAATCCTGTCAGTGATATTTGTAAAGTAAAACCTAATAATCAACCAATAAGGAGCAATTAAATTGATGTACTACTGTTAGATTTAATCAAGGATTCTTTTTATTGACTTGAATTAATATCCCTTTAAAAGTCTCTGAAAGGACTACTTTTTTAATTGACTAAACAATTTGATACCACATAAAAATAATAATGGTACATTAAGTACTATTTTCTCAGGTCTTCAGGAGGGCTTTCTCTAAAACTGTACAAGTAGTGCTTGAAATTTAGACAAAATTAGTGTGTACAAAAATGTATTTCCCATAAAATCTTAGCATTTTTGTTGTTGATTTTTTTGAATATTTTTAGCCTTCTTACACTATAACCAAGTGCTATAACCAAGAAGAGAGTTCTCCTAAAAGGAGATTTTTAAAAGTGGTCACAATTAGTCCTCTTAGCTCTGATTTTAAAGCGAGATAATCACTACAGTGGTATAAATTTTCATCTGTAGGTCAAAGACCACTCTTTCCAGGAGCTCAGTGTCTCTGACTATAGTCTTTGTAATGAACACAGGCGTGGCGGTCACAACCACCCAGTCATTTCAGATGAAACCCTTGGTGAAATGGATCATCTCTGTTTATATTTTCCAGATCTGTTAAAGGCAGATACATATGCTAATTTTTAAATGTGTGACTGGTCTATAGTGACTGGATTCTACCCTTCAGGAAGCCTTTACATTACCTATGTAATGGTAGAATGTCAAAATCTTAGAATTTCTATTAATTTTTTTTTCCTGTGAAAAGCTTTATTGTTTCATTTGGTCTAATGCATGGGAGAGGGCTTCAGGGTGGTTAAAAGAATGACTAGTAGTTCCAGGGGGGCTCAGTTAAAAGCCAGACACCAGGGGAATACACAGGGGCCTTTCAAAGGCCTCTGGGCTCCAAAGGCTCCTAGTCATGATACTCGCCCAGCCCAGCCTGGGGGCCGGCAGCCTGCAAAGGTGAGTCAGGTGTCGCCCATCTTCTTGATGAGTTTCACCTCCTCACCCAGGAAGTGGTTCTCAGGAAGTCACAGAGCTGAGGGTCTGCACAGGTAGAACCCAGGGCCTGCAGCTCCAAAAGGGACTGTGTCAGGTTCCTCTCCACGGCCAGGGCGGCTTCCATGGCATCCTGAGTGTCACCCCACTCAACTTGGGGAGGCTTCAGCAGTCTTGGAAGAGAATGCTGCCACCACACTTGTTTTGCAATTTTAAGAGATGCTCAGCGCCCTCGTGCTTCTCCGCCAACTCGCAGAACAAGTGGCCCTTGCCCTCCAGAGTCACATCATCGCAGTGGAAATAGAAGCCCAGAGAGAGGTAGGTGTAGGGGGCCCACTATGCAGTTGGCCAGGCGGTTGACTGCAGCCTCCACCTCGGTGGAATAATTCTGACGAATTCGGGAGCTCATGGTTGTTTGGCAATAAGGAGTTAAGGTAGGAAAAATACCAGTGCCTTGGCTGGTCTCAGAGGTGGTTCTGAAGGTGGTGACTGGATAAGACGCAGGAGGGAGGCCGAAGGCTGGTAGAAGGGGCATCCCTAGGTCTGTTCAGTCCAAACACTGTTGAAGCAAGAGACAGATCCTGGGCTGCCGAAGGCACTATTTCTATTAATTTTTTATAAACGTTCCATCACAGCTACCAGTAGTACCTATATACACTGAGTGGCCAGGTTATTATGACCACCTGACGTTTGTAGGCAAATTAGCTATAATTTCGAGCTGAAGTTGCTAGAGGGCCAGACCATTATAAATAGGGAAGCAGGTTGTTTATCATGACAGTAGAAGTGATTTTTTTCTGAAGATATGGGTAAACAACACAATTTAACAGCTTTTGAATGTGGGATATATTTGAATGTGAGTGGCCAGATTATTATGACCACCTGACGTTTGTAGGCAAATTAACCGTATGCTGCATCATATGGGATATGGAAGCTGAAGGCCTGTTCGAACACCTTTGCTGTCTGCAGTTACCAAGATAAAACATCTCCAATTTGCACAGGAACACAAGGATTAGAGAGTCGAGCACTGGAAAAAAGTCATGTGGTCCGATGAATCACGTTTCCAGTTGCATCATGCAGATGGCAGAGTGAGAATTTGGTGGAAACAGCATGAAAGCATGCACACCACATGCATGAGTACAACCCTTCAAGCTGGTGGGGGCAGTGTTACGGTTTGGGGCATGTTTTCCTGGCATGATTTGGGCCTTTTAATTCGTGTGGAACAATGTATGAATAGCACAACATACCTAACTATCATTGATGATCAAGTTCATTCTATCATGTTGATGGTGTATCCCAATGGAGATGGCTTCTTCCAACAAGACAATGCTCCATGCCACGGTGCTCCATGCCACGGTGCTCTTATTGT